CAGAAAAGAACAGAAAAGAACAGAACAGAAAAGAACAGAAAAGAAAAGAAAAGAAAAGAAAAGAAAAGAAAAGAAAAGAAAAGAAAAGAAAAAGACAAAAAAAGGAAAGGAAAAAAAGTTAAATATTTTAAGTAACAATGCGCGCAAAAAGCAGGGAACTTCTATTGTTCTGCGGCAATTGCAACTTCCCCACATACGAATGTCTTMGTTTTCACACTGATTATATATCAACCTATGGGTAACAGATTTTTAAAATAAAATGTGGATAAACTCTTTTGTATTAAAAGATCTTGTCCAATCATAAGCACTGAAAACAATTACCAAAAGATGCTTCTAATTTGCTATGTTCCCCACATAGAATTGCTATTAATATTAAAGCTAAGGAAAGCTTTTATGAAGTCGGAAACAGATATTAAATAAAATATTAAAAAATGCGCTGTTACTTTTGAAATTATGTCAGATTTTAATGTTTTAACCAATGAGATGCATGGATTATACAATACACAATTAGCACCTTCATGCATTCCATTGCCGTTTGCTTGCCTGCTTCTTACTCGAACCATTACTTAATATTGTGTAAAAACAATAACTAAACTTGAAAAAAGTAAGTTGGTATCACATTAATATTGTGTAAAAACAATAACTAAACTTGAAAAATGTAAGTTGGTATAATGTGTTCATATGCTGAACTTATCTTCATTATGCCGGATCCCGAATGGTTCACTTTTTCCTACCTTTCTTGCATAATCCGCAAAGTACGGGACAATTACGTTTCAAATATGGTTTATTGTTGCAATATTTCTGTGCCCCTGGGAGTCCGCAAACCATAGGATCGATATCTTCACAAGCTGTAAAAAATCACATAAGAAATATAACAAATGAAATTAAACGAATTCAGTAATCTCTGGAGTCAATAAAGACATTTGCGGATATAAAGTCGGGCGGACTCGTGTGCAGGAGACCTTAAGGTCTTCTTTGAAACACTCCAATTCTCTTGTGTTTGGACTTGCTTTTTATAAACCGAATCATCGCCGAAAATGATAACCTTGTCCAGTGCTTAGAAGGAGGCAATTCCGGGAGAAAGTTCCCTTAGGGGATTCGGGGATTCGAACCCACGACATGCCGGAGCTGCCACGGCATGGGCTGCCGACATGAGAAGTGATTTGTAGTGATGCAATTAAGCTGAGTTTCATTAGAGAGAAAGATAGGTTTTTCTGTTAAGGCCTACGTGTATTTGAGTGAGATCCAACGACGAGGAGAGCCAAAATACAAAGTGTAACGAACTCCTTCATCTTGATGTCTGTAATGAAAAGAGCACATAAAAAACGAAAGGACAGAGTAATAATTTCATAATTTCAAGATACACTTAATAATAATTGTGATATGTTTTATGCCTTGTCACGATTAATGACAAATTTTTAAATTCGCGAAGTACTATAGCTATCCGTTGGTATCAGAAAACGGTCTCTACTACTGTGGATATACAACACGCCTCGTAATGTAGTTATATAAGTCCTGGTCCTGTCTTACCTTTAAGCGCCTCTTGTTCCGTGTTGTATTCTCAACAGTAGTTGAACAGCAACTGACTCACATAGATTTTACCAACGTTAATATTGTATTTCATTTTCTCTCCCCGTGTGATACTAGTAATTGTGATACTAATTAGTAATTGCATTTTAATTCTCCTTTTTTTTCTTTTTTACATAAGCATCCCTGGTCCTCTACCGCATCTCCCAGGAGGCATTTAGCACAAAACTTCTTCAAACGATTTGAACATAATAGTTTGACCGGAAGCACTTAACTGTTGGAAAATTTTAAGATAACAGTTTTTTCTTTTCTTTTCGAATGAAACAGCACCTCCTAATCACTATTCCTCTACCGCATCTCCCAAGAAACATCTAGCATACGTTTGACTGGTAGCACTTCACTGTTGAAGAATTTTAAGATAGAGGCTTACATATGTCATTATAATGTCCTCCCATCTCTAAAATTGTAGTCACGGCCACTATGTGCTGCAAATCCCTCTTTTATTTGTGAAAGCTAATCAAAAACAAAGAATTCAAAAAAAGCAATATCGGTCTCTATTATTTCTTTTTCACAATTACAAGAAAACCTACCTTTTTAGAGAAGTAGGCTGGAAGTAGGCTATCTGCGGGCAGACAGTTTTTACAGCGCATCGTCATGAGTACGTACTTCTTGTTTATGGAATGTTGGCTTAATTACACGTGCCTTGCTATGCAGGGGACGTGTGGTAAAATGCTGTTACTTTCTTGTTTTTTCGTCGTCGTCGTCGTCAGTTTTTTTTCACAATGTCGAGTGTTTGGCTTCGATACATCTTCGTAGCCAATCACATTACGTTGTATATTCCTAACGCTGTAGGCTACCCATAACCCCTTTCGCTCAGATTTTCAACTCGTGTTATTACACACTACTGTTTCATCGCGCATTTTGATGAGTATTCTTTCTACTTGCGAGTATATGCGACAGAATATGAAGGTTTACGACCAAAATCTGGCACTCATTACTCGTCTGTGTCTTAGTATCAAGGCTATGTTGAATTATGATGACGAGGAGATCTCAAATACAGAGATCGACACGCTTGAGTTTGAGTTTGTTTGATGTGTTGTTCTCTCCCTTGCCACGAGGGTTTTTCTCCGGGTCCTCCGGTTTTCCTCCCTCAGTAAAAATCAACATGTGAGGAGTGTTGTGTGCTAAAATAATTAATGTAGAGGTAGTGAGTGTGAGTGTGAGGGCCACAAGTTCATCAGTTCTTTACTGTCACGTGTTACCCTCCTAAAATAAAGTCGATTTATTTATTTATTTATTTATTTACTATTCGTGAAGCGACGGCAACGGCTGTGAACCCTTCTAGTTGTATAATTGAATTTCTCTACTAGAGCTCTACTCGCTTATCATGATTGAATATCAACACAACTCTTTAGATAGAAAATTATATTATATTTCTAAAATAAATCCTAAAAATTATAGATATAATTATAGATATAACGAACTACCTAACCACTTAAAATTGAAAGGATTTATTAAATTGATAAAATTGTAATATAAACCTGCTAAAATATCAAAATTTGTTTTTCCCCTGGAGGACCGCGTGGTTAATTTGCATTAAAATGTAAAATTCATCATCACGGCGGCTACCGTGAATATATGACCAATTGAATTATGTCTTTTACTTCTTTTAACTCCTAAAGAATAAGCCATTCCAATGTCTTATTAAAAAAAGGAAAAGCACAAAATTATGAACATTGATTGTATAAGACCACGTGCCCAAAATGATAGCGGGCAGAGCGGCCAAATATGGGACAACATACTCTATCAGTTTGTTTAGAAGCCAGTCCGCGCCTCTCAAACGCAAACGGAAATTCAAACAATTATAATAATCAAAAGAGGATACACTAGTGCTGCAAACAACGTACTTTTTGAACATTTTAACGAAATGATCGATTTCAGTCTTAAGACCATACAGTCGTTTTTTCTTGAAATCATGGGAAATTCTCCTGAATTATGTTAAGTATGCTATTTTTCCATTGTCCGATTCTAAACCAATTAGATGTTATAAACAGACTTTTCACTGTTNCCATTAAATGTAGTAATTCAGTATTCAGACATTTTTTTACAATAAGACCAACACCTCATACCATACCTTCCAAAATCTTTGTTGACAGGTTCTTGTTGTAATGCTGAATTTAGTTGTCTTTCCCTAAAATTGATTTGAAATAATAATTGTATAGTTCACCAGAAAAAGTGGCTTACTTTCTTATGTTATTTTCACTAGCGAAAGTTATGGTACTGCTTTTATGGAATCAATTATGATAAATAGAATATATTACAAGTTCCTTCGGGAATCATCTTCGTGTGTTGAAAATCTATCCCTGACTACTCTCATTTGTGAGGGATTTTTTCAACATTTGTTATCATGCTTATATCCTCTATATCAATGATTTAAGCAATAGTCATGGTAACTACATTAATTATTGTCGAGAGATTTACTGAGATTTCTTACTTTGTTATGAGTTGGTCTAGCATGTTTTGTCGRCTGTCAACTTCTCGTTCAGTTCTGGTCTTTGTTAAGATAAATATATTATAATTATTATTATTTATATTAATATTATAAACATATTATTTTGAGGTATTGTGAACTGCACACAATCATCAAGACATGGATCCTGTGCAATAAAAATAATGAATTATTATCAATTATTATTAATTATTATTACATGTAAATTCATAAGTTTCAAAACTTCAATGACAAAATGCTTAACATCATTTGGTATTGCTTTTGTCAATAAAAACTCTTATCTACAAACTATATACAAAATAGTATTAACAGTGTTTTGAGTTCACTGAGCTTAGTTTCAGTCACTACTAATTGAAGAAAAGTGTGTCAACACCACAAAAAATCTGCAAAGGAAGTTATGTATTGAGTGGATTCTCCTTTCAGTTTGTTGAAGTTTGAAGTTTTGATTTAGCATGAACAAAAAACACCAAATAACATATTGTGATTTAATTATTATATATTTATGATAATGATAACTTTTCCTTTTCCATGCAATTTACAAAGCAGTAAAGGATACATATGATAAGACGACGACGCTCTGAGTAATGCCTGTTTCAAGTTGTTAACGTCACGGCTAAATGTCTTCAACATTATCCTGATATCTGATTCTACCTGTAAATATGAAAACTGATATCATTATAACGTCCTGATTGTCGACATGCAAAGCATAACTTAATAACTATGCATCAGAACATTGAAATCTAGTCCTGYAGGTTTAATTGACTAAGTGGACGYTCCATACCCTGGCGTGGTTTCCACCTGAGCGGCGTATTCTGTTGCGTTCGTTGATTTTCTCCATAATGTCTTGTCCATACTGTTGTACATTTTGGCATTCACTTTGCCTGGAAATATTACAGTGGTACATGCACAAGAATCAAARAACAGAAACTCCAAGCYTGAAAATAACTAACTAAACAGCTCAACAAGTATGAAAAAATGAGAAAAAAGAGAAGAAAAAAACAAACAAAAAAACAAAAGAACATGAAAAACAAAATGAAACAAAATACTTACTACATTTATGAACAAAATCACTAAATCATGATAGCTGGAGAAGTTTAATGGCTAAATAATAAGCTTAAGCTTAAGCTTAAATTTTATTTAGCAAGCTGGTAAAGACAATTACAGATGATTTTGCAAACACAACTTAGCTTGCTAAAAATTATTAAACTAATATGCATGTACAGAAATTCAGGCAGTTATCCAAAGATCTAAAAAAGCATATTACAGTAATCACAAAGATTCAATAATCTTAAGTTATATTTGAACTTAGATCATAGATCGAAAAGGGAAGAAATCATGTGACCTGTGTTGGGAACAAGCGATAAAATCCTGATGCATTTATATGCAATAACATATATCACACTAACAATATGAAAATATTCAGTATTGTGATATGCAGGATAGCGAAAAAAAGGGCTTAAAACGAGCAAAAATGTCAAAAAATAATAATATCATACCACGAATCTGTCGGCGCCATCTTGTTTCTTTTTGAGGAGAGGATTTGTTCCGGTTCCCAGTTTTCCCCGTTCCACAGGTAATCCAAATTTCATCATCTATTTACAAAACTGAAAGTAAGTGTAGTGGAAAGAAAAACGAAAAGTAAGAAAAACAAAAGAAAACACAGAAAAACAAAAAAATAGAGATTACAAAATATTTTCCGGTATCAAAGATCATGCAAAGTTCAAACGAAAGTAACTTGATCATAATTGGAGATCGCTCAGAAATCGACAGCAATCAGTCAAATCTACGTTTACTTCCGATTGCGTTTTCCTTTTGCCATAAATGGTTGCTAGTCAAAGTCTTCTTACATGTAGGGGAATACCCATGACGTATTCATCCTCGGTCAGTCATGAGACGTAAAATGCATGATTAATATTACGATATYACCCATATAGKTCCATYTGTACGTCCAAGAGTRACGCGTTTTGCGTACAGTGGCACACCCGATCGGGGCATTGCCACATTGTCTTACGTAAACTTCAATAAAACAATATATTCCTATGTAACGCATAAGACTTTAACTGTAGTCCACATTACATTCGTCTACATTTTATTAGGATTATATAAACGTATGCTTTTAATAACCTTGAATGTGATCGGCATAGTTAGAGGGAAATGGTTTTATGTTTTTTTTTTTTTTTTCCAAGCGTGACAGTGCACAAGCCATACCACTGAATAACATCTGAATGAACAGAGCGAAAATCCGAATTGTCTGACTATTTCTTCAAAATACACAATTTTTTTTAACAAACTTGCCGGCATTGAAATATTTCATTTCATAATCTCATCGAGGGTGTTTTGCACGGTTTTGACTGATTCAACCTCAAAATACGTACAAAAGAAGTACAACAAAAGGTTTCCAAACCATTCCCCTCATCTTTGCTCCTATCATGTGATACAGCACGCTATTTTACGTAAGTCCTCGGATGCGTAACAAGTAGTACGTTAGTTGTTTCTCTTTCTGTCTAAGTAATGCTAAATTAGGGCATTACGGCGACAGGATTACTTGGTTCTCGAGGCCTTCATCCCAACATCGTAGGTTTTGTACATAATATAGGGGAATACCCTTTACTGAAGAACTAGCCTTAGTCAGGAGACTAGCACGAGGTTGATGGTTAACACATGGTTTATGAGGAAATGACAGTGGCACTACTTGCCAGGAAAGTGATAATCACTGTCAGTAACTTGCATAGACGTATCGTATATATGTTGATTGCGGCTTCCGATTGTCGTAAAGGCTGATGCGCTCACCAATACAGGATGTATTATCATCAGAATTAGATAGCGTCTTTAAAATTGCGATTACGATTGCGATAATGATCGCATTGCAAACATCAGTCTCTCTTATATTGTTTTCTGTCTTTGGATTTATTACACTTTGCATCTCGATATCTCTATGATTCAATATGATTTGATATAATAATCTTCACAAAAAGCCAGATTTTGTGACTGTGGGGGCTGGATTGAACTTCAAGCCGGAATCCCACTCAAAAGCATGTGGGTTTCCTGTATTTTTTGACTCAGCTAGATTTTTTTATTTCTGTAATTTCTCGTCTCTCGAGCTTCACTTGTCTATTTTCATTATTTTCATTGTTTAAATCATCATGTATGAACTTCGGCTAAGTTTAACAAGCCAATCAACGCCTGCGGCGAGAGTTTGCAATGACACTTCCAGCCCCGTGCATCAGTTTAGTTTTATGGCCTTTCGACCTCTTCCCTTCTTTCTATTGTTATAGGCATTGATTGACATCAGTAAATCAAGCCGGTACGTGACTTGACTAGGGAGCCCAGCCATGATTGTATCTGACTTATCGATGTCAAACCATTTAACTCAAGTTGTGCAACACAAGTAGCTATCAGTTGATAAACAATATTGTCCCACAGTCCGATCAGTTTCATGCAATTTCCAGATAGTCCCGATCAGTTTCATGAAATTTCCAGATAGATTTGGGCAAAACCGGACGAATTTTCCATTCCCATTTCTGTCAGTTCATATTAAAAAAGGCCCACTTCTCCATCTTAACACCATTTCCATTTTTCATCACATTAAGGGAGAAAAAATTTAATCATGCACCTAAGATTAGTGGTGGACTAGCAATAAATTTTCGTTTTGATTTAAATAATTTGACAAAATATTCTCCAACACTTTAAATTACTAACAAGTAAGCAATTATGAAATTTATAGAGCCCCGGGCTTCTCTTGGCCTCTGAACGGATTGTCTCAATGGTGTTATAACTTGATACTCCACAAGTAAAGGGCACGGCGCGGTGTTTTGGTTCTCTTGGGTGCAGTGTTTTTAAAATCATCTGTCAACTGGGCTTCATACATTGCTTAAAACTACAGCGAAATACTAAGCAAGCTAAAATACCTTTTTTGTTAATTTCAAGCAGAACGAGTGGTTTGTATGGTCAACAGACAAATTAACTTTTTGTCACGCTGTCACGCAAGAACACTGAAATTAACCAGCAGTATCCGATTTCACGGCTGTGAGGCAGTGTCAGTTAATGATTTTTCAAAACCAAACGGTAGACACGAACACACGGCTCCCGGTTGACACAGCTGATTGGAGTTTGTACCTAGGACACCTAGGGTTTTATGATATAACAGTACACAAGGATATCTTCATTTTAATGTGTACCGTACAGTGAAAGTAAGAAGACTAGTGAACAATTGACTGTGAACTGGTATTCGACAAGGGCATCGTGAACTGACCTTATCTACGAGTAAGTGAAATAGCAAACAAATAATTTAATAATATACTCTCAATAATATAGTCCTTACCCGTAGAGAATCTATTTCATGACCACGTTAAATAAGCAAGAATTCCTATAGAAGTTTGTAGTCTCAATGAAATTGTTGAAAGCTGCTTTAGTTTTTCCGGATAGTGACTAGTGTGTGAAGGGCTCTTTAGCAGAATTTTACCAATGGATCTGTTTGATCGACTTCAATTTTTCAATTTGTGAAGGGAGTAATGAGTTAGGAAAGGGGGACATTATTAGAGAAACGATTGCGATTATTTGATCTGCCTATTGTTCCTTTAAATTTATATACTTCTGATAAATCTATTTCGAGATTGCTTTAAATGTCATACAGTGGATTCTTCATTATTAATTGTTCAGTAAAATAACCTTTAACAATTTATAGAATATTCGATTATTAATATTTGAAATGGGGGAGTTACTAGTTTATCACAATTATATTATTTATTCGTAGACATAGTCGATGATGGCCGCGATGATTGAAATGTTCAACCATTATTCCTTCAAACCCTACACAGACAACAACTACTACAATCACCACAGCGAGGATGTAAAAGAAGGTACACAAACCCTTTAAATTTTAAAAATAAAAATATTCCATCACAGCTGCAATGGATAGAGAAAAAAATATGTTTTTCACGGAGAATGTTGTTTGTTGGGTCGACCTCAAAAGAGCCGACTATTGTTCAGAAACTTGAAGAAAATAATACTAATAGAGCGAAAAAAACATTCACTGCTCTAGATTTATAAAAGTTACTCTGTGCTGTAAGATAATATGTTAGATTAAATAAGTTTTCATTTGATGATAAAAAAGTTTACTGAAAAAAATACACGTTTAATTAGTTATTTCCCAAGGAATTAATGAAATGCGAAAATGTGAAATAGCAAAAAGAGCCGACAACACGAAACGAAAGTAAAATTTGCGAATAACAATAATTAGTAGTTGTTTGTCCAGTACTAGTGCTGATACCTGTTTAACTATGTTTAACTATAGATTTTAAAATAATATGGAGTTAATAGATGAATGAAAAAAAATAAATAAATGAATAAATAGATATGAGAAAAAGGATTTATAATCCTCACAGATAAACAATAAAAAGATGCATGAATTAAAACTGAATGAATAAACGGATGAATAAATAGGTGAATTATGGGTATTAATCCCGTTCACAATCTCTACTGAAGATTCTAGTYATGAGTTCAAATTYSTGGTCAAACCGTACATCGACCGAATCGCGCTGTRTCGCTAAATTATTTGGCATATGGGACAATTCGGGTGATCGTCAGCTTTCTTCACGTTTATGTCAGAACTCATTAAGATTCAATCAATGAATAAGTAAGAAAAATAGTGGAATATACAAATAAATCACGAGAATAAGATGAAAGTAAAACAAAAAGAAAAGACTGAAATAAATGGATGATCAAACGAGTGAAATAATGAAATAAAATGAATATAAAAATGGTAAGCCTTTGCATTGTAATGAAATACATAAAATGAGTTTGTGAGTATTAAATTGAGATATTCAGGTGACTAATTAGCTATGACAGTCAAATTATCTGTACTGATTCTTTTTATATGTGTATTTTTTTTTAATTTTATGAATCTGTAACCATGACCTATTTTACTTTTTAATTTTACTGGAAAACTGAAGTCTTTCACTGCAGATTTTATGATTATGATACGAATAACGAGAGACATACCGGATATGGAGTAAAGGTTAAAAAGACCACTCCCGTCACCCTCCCCCATGACATTGTCTTTGAAAACAGCGATCGGCAGTCAAGTGGATAACGCTTTGAAAAATATTTTTTTTTCTCCTCTTAAAATGCACATTTTCCACAGTTTTTATGAACCATTAGTTGAAATTATTTTGAAATTAAATACTAGGTCGGCACTGAAGTCAGTAGCCTCCTTTTTTTAGCAGCCGACCCTGCTTCGTCACGCAACGCTGCTCGTTGCGTGACGACAACACAGGGGCGGCTGGAAACATTGCCACTTAAAAAGTACTTAAATATAATTCCAGGGTATTTCCATCAGTGCTAAATACAGGACGAAATAATCTCCCTGAGATTATCTTTTTGTTTTTGTTGTAATATTTAAGTTAACTTTTATTCATATCAGTCATAAATGTGTTGGTATTCATAATATATATTCTATATATTTTATATGATTTTTTGGGGGGGACAATCGTTATAGAGAAAGAAGCTCTCGCTGAAGAAATAAAAGTACATTAAATCAAATTAAAAAAAAACTATTTTGTAAAAGGTTTTAAAGGCGTATTTTAAAAATCATTTTTGTGAACAATTTTTAACCATGCTGGTCAAATAAATAAATATAAATAAAATACATAAACAAGTTACGACACTTTTTTCTGCAGTTTCGAATCCAGGTAATTATTTGTCTTTGTGTTTGATATATGTAAAATATATGTCGTAAAACAAAAAGAATCGACACAGAAACAGATAGAAAAGATTGTAATATTTCGATCAAGGATAAAAATAGCGATGACATGTTTCGACACTCCATTGTATACGTCACAGCTTTTGTTATTATGATTTTTTTAAATTGTATTTTCACAATTCTCCCAGTAAGTATGTGTTTTCTACGTAGCCTTGAAAAGGAAACTATACGGAATAGCAACGGGATGTGGTCTTGAAAACTAACGTGTGCTCAACATTGTCACGTATCACAAATGCAACATTTCCAAACAAAATATTTACAAAATGAAAAAACTGCTGACCTCCTTTCTAATTTTAAGAACTTTTTCTAGAAGGAAGGATAAAAATAGCTGATAATTTCCGGGCCAATCTTTTATATATGTATTTTTTTTTTTCAAAAAACCAATTGAAAGCTCATCGGTGTTGTCCAATCATATGCCTTGTTTTAGTGGTATTGACAGTATGACGTCACTTACATCCGGGGTAGTGCTATAWTTCTGTCCGCCATGCCCTGGTGTGTGATGATTTGATAGTCAAGTCCYCCAAGATCAGGAGAAATTGAGGCTGAAAACAATAGTTTGAAGGCGAGCTTTTAGGGTTGTAATCCCCTTCCAAAATGGACCTGCAGTCTCAGGGCGAGAGCGCTCATACGCGCGATGCAAACGCCGAGACATCCGAAGCTGTCAGCCATCAACAATTTTTGAATTACCGTCAAGGCAAGTTGCGAGCTTCTGCTCTGCAATCCAGTCCGCTGATTCACTAAATGACTTACTATGTTTTGGTTGTGACATTGAGATACAGTTCTGTGTGAGCTATATGTTTCTAGTACTTCATCTTATTCAAATATGTTGTTGTTTTTGTTTCTTCCGGCAGCCTTGGAGAGAAAACTCCAACAACGTACTCCTCGCGAGCATCTTATTAGTCAAGGCATTATGCCAGGTTAGACATTATGATATTTTATTTAGTTAGATTTTTTAAGTATTCAGAATGAAGAATTGATGAATCTATTATGATCTTTTAAAGCTGCTGCCACTAGTACAGCTCCGGCGTTACTTTCTCAGAAGACTAAACTCGAGCGAGCTAAGGTATGGAATCATTCAGAATAACATTTTATTATGACCTTTGTGAAAACATTTGCACACTATCAGACGTTATCTTTTGGTATTTACGACCGTATTCTAATCTCTATTCCTTTCAACAGACAGGGGATATTCTACAGAAGAAGATCCGTGTCCGACCGAATAGGGATCAACTTGTTCAAAGACATATTTTGAATGGTAAAGTCAACAATGCTAAATTTCGTTTTATAGACTTTTGAAAGGTTTCTTTTGAAATGTATGACTGAAGTCCTTCAACCTCACACGGCRTTTGACAGCATCTACCGTAAATAAATTTCCATGTTTTAATGATTTGTGTATTTTAAAAAGATTTTATTACAAAATGTCGCGAGCTTGTATAATTGATGTAGGATTTTCAAAAGTTGTACGTGCGTAAATCGTGTGAGTATGTTTTTGAACTTTTGTGTCGAAATCACGGGCCACTCAACGTGAAACAATACTCGATCTGTTCAATCGACATTCCTTTGCTTAAAATTTTTAATTTCTGACTGTTCATATTTCAACACAAGATCAATTTTATATTCTGTTTTCTTTGTCAAGTTGCACCAGTCAAAAGTCTTTCACTCAATGTTGTTTGTTATTACCATTTCAAACATCTTGGTTGCAGCTTTTTGAACTCTTTTGTACAATTATTGTCGAGGAAACAATTAATGACTGCAAAATCCATATCATATTTCAGTTTTCTTGGAGTTTTCGGTTGTCAACAATGTGTTTAAAAGAGAASGCTACTTTAAACTCTATGTGGGACTGTTTGTTAAGCAATCTAAACAAGAGCAGAGCTAATTATTTTTGCTTCACGGTTAGGTAGAGTTTTGAGTCTAGTGCTTGACTTAGATTATATCATAGAAAAAATGTCCTTTAGAAAATAATGAAATCCTTCTCTTACTTTTCAGATTCTATCCCTCATTCTTTAATCCAAATCTGTGTAATATTAAACTTTAATATCTCAATTAAATTTCTTTTGTGACTAGTTCACTAATTGCATGCTAGGGAAAACGGTATTTAACTTAATAATTTGGACATGAGTTCCTTCATAAACGAAAATTGCATAGTACTCTCTGAAAGTGAAATCTAACCTTTATGTAATACAGGCTAGTTTGCCAACCCTTAAACCTAGTACCAACAATGCAACTACATCTATTAATCCACAATATCTTGGGTCCATTGTTATTGAAATAGACTACATGTATGGCTGGCTAACTATGATAGGTCAATCATGAAATATTATTTTCTACAGAATATGAATGGCTCTCTTTATTGTTTGTACAATATTTTGGAATAACTCATATTATTGAGAAGTAGACTTTCATATCAACATATTTAAACCTGTGACTGGTTGCACATTATGAATTATATTTTGCTTACACCTCCCCCACCTAGTGAAGTACAATAAGACTAGCTTGAATGCAGAGTTCATATTAGAAGCTAGATATTTTCCTAGTAATTGCAGCATAATTTCCCTTGATCAGGTCATTCCATGCTTGGCTGGATGCTGGAGAGAAACTTCAAACACATTTGGATCCAGCTGCATTCAAATTAGACAATAAATTTACAACTTTTTGACTTTAAACAAAGCATTAACAGCTACATATAGCTGTGTATCTTATTATTGCATATTTCATTGTTTTTGGGAAGGACATAACTTTGAATATGTCAAAGTTACAACAGCAATAATATTGAATGTTATTTCTMTTGTCCATTTGTAATTAATAGCTTTTTTACTCCTTTTGTTAAGACTATTAAACACCACAGAAATATCATTTTCCAACTTTGGGCTTAGTGTCATGAATCTATAGTCTTATTGTCAACCTGTCAACTTAATCCTTCTATTTAAGATGTTATCATAAAATATCACCTTTTACTAGACATATACAAGTCAAAGCATCCATTTTGTTTAGAGATGCTAATAAGAAAGACAGACAAGTTTCTGAGCATCTAGACATGTTTATTGGCTTCAAGCAATATTTTAAGTGTGCATGCTTCATTATACCTGTCTTTATATAAAGATGAAACCACCATTCATGCTGTTATTAGATATTTTTTTAAATTAATTTTTAATTTTTTTTGTGTATGCGAGGGCATTCTTATTGCGCGGCATTTTTAGTGAAGGCTTTTCGTGAAAATAGGGAAGATGTATCAATATGTGCAATATTAATATAAGCCTTGTGCACCACCAGCTAATTATATAACTGTCTGGAACATCAGTCTGAGATCTTGTCATTAATGTTGCAAGATCTATTTTTATTGTGACTGATTGTTATATTGTTATCGAAACAACTTATCAATTGTCTTCCAGTGAAAGTGTTGACATTTGTTGTTTCTCTTTACCTCTATTGCACTCAATATTTGCAATTTGTGAATCATATCATTCAAGTTCAATGCAATTTTTGCATTTCCATTTAAAATTAAAATTATAAAGTGTATAGTTTTACAAACAATGGCAGTAGTTGAAATGCTTAGATCGAAATTTTTTTGATTGTGATTTTGCATTATATTTTAACATTTTGAAAGTATGTCTTTTTATTTTATCATTAGTTGGGTTTTGTGTCTAGGTCTATTTTTTGTTTTGCTACATTCTGTTTATCAGGTATTATTTCTCAATATCTAAGTGTAAATTGGACATTATTGTTAATGACAAGCTGCAACGTTATGATGTGCTATGCAACATTTTCATTTTAAACTTTTGTATTTGGGTTAATTTTACCAATCMTTCTATTTTGTAGATACTTCYGCATCTGTAGATCCATCCTTATTAGCCAACCAAATCAAACTCAAACGTAAAAAGCTGGAAGACGATTTGAATGACAGACTTGCAGTTAGACCTGGACCTTTAGAGCTTGTCAAAGAGAATATCCTTGAGCAAGGAACACCTGTAGGACTAGCAGTCCAGGAAGGAAATGTCTCGTTTACAGATACTGCACACTCGTCACTACTAGAACCAATATCACCTGAATCGAATGATGGCTCCCCTGAGCCTTCACCTGATAATATCTTGTCTTCACAATTTCCTCCAACAACAGCGTCGGATCTATTAAACCACACTAATATACAAGCAGCATTGTCTAAATTGCCAAAATCATTAGATGAGAGGACTTTGGATGTACCGCAGGGGTTACGGAAGGAAAGGACGCGTAAAAAGTCACCAAGACAGAAGTTTAAGAAATATAAATATCACGAGTATCGACCACCAAATGGMGAGGTACAGAAAAGTAGTCTTCCAATGGACTCACCCTACGCATTGATGCTTCAACAGCAACAGCTGTATTTACAGTTGCAAGTATTATATCAAAACTATCCACAGTTTGTGAGCTTGCCTTCAATTCCTGAAAACGTTCCAAAGCCGGTAAATAATAATAGTGTTAATGAAGAGAAGCCTGTGAAGATTGAAGACATGCGCGTTGTAGATATGAGAAAAGAACTCAAAATGCGAGGTTTGCCTGTTTCTGGGTCTAAAACAGACCTTATTGAAAGACTCAAAGCAGTTCAGCAACAGACTGRGGAGCAGAATGCCAACTCGCCTGATCAACCAATGAATGAGACTTCTGTAGGAAGTCCTTCTATTGTAACCACGGCAACATCTGTATCATGTAACTCTCCTGTGCCGGTTACAAGTGGTGGTTTTGTACCAGTCAATACACATATAAAGCTTGGAAGATCCAACTCACTGCCTGCTCATGAAGCAAGACTGCAACAAGTCCAGAGTCAGCTTGTGGCCAACAGCAAGAAACTACATACCCAGCTTCCTCCAGAAGTGCAGCAGCAACTGCAGCATTTACAGTATCTGAACTTGCAAACTCAATTGCAGCAGCTAAGGGTTCAGCCACAGTCTGGCGGGCAACCTCAATCAGGACAGTTAAGTCCAAGACAGCAGACTGGTATGAAACAGCAAGGCTTGATATCATCAGTCAAGAGTGAAAACACTGTGTCCGACAGTTGTGCTTTTAGTCAACAACCAAAGCTCAACCCTTTATTTAATAGTATTACAACAAGCACACCTCAGTCGATGTTCCTTTCACATCGTCCTGACCAAGCGCCACAGATCACAATGACTCAGGCTATGCCAACATTGAATTATACAACAAGCAGTAAGAATCAACATCTTGGGCAAACTCAGACTGGTTTGCAGGGACTGATGCACTTAAAAGCAGAAGCTAATAGGTTAAACGTGGTGGCAAGTCATAGTGAACCAGACCTGAGTCACTTGGAGAATGTGAATGCCAAAACTGCATTGAATCAAGGGATTAGCCAGCAAGACAACAAGATGCTGTCACCACACGGGTCTCCTCGGCAAACGCCTGTTATATTCACTTCAGGGATTCTGCAGGAACAGCAACCTGGAACCTTGAAGCAAGCACGAACGAAAACTGATCCAATGCAAAGATCTTACTCTGAAAATGCACCTGAAGAAACGGGAATATTAATGCACACAGTGGAACAGGAAAAGCAGAGGTCGTTATCTGAGCCACCTCAGCCATTTGGTCATAGAAGATCATGTTCATTACCGTCAGGCCAGCTGTACTTTGATCATGTTTCACCACCACCAAGCTATGAAGCGCACATGGCAGCTCAAATGCAAAGGAAGTTGAGCCAGGAATTGTCTTCCTATCAGCAGCCAGGAATTACCATAAAGACTGAAGATGTTGACGGGGTGGAGGTACAGAGGAAACGTAGTCAGGACTTTTCATATCAGCAACAGATGCAACAACAATTACAACAACAACAACAACAAAATCAGCTTCAGCAGCAGAAACAAATCCAACATCAACAGCTACAACAACAGCAACAGTTGCAACAGCAGTTACATCAACATCAACAACTCCATCAACATCTGCAACAACAACAGAAGCAACAACAACAAAAGCATTTAATACATACAAAGAATGATGATATGGAGATGGGAATGGAAACTTCCCAGGACAGAGAACTTACTCAGGAACTTCAAAGGGTAAGAGACATGTTGAAGATAGTGTGGTTGTCCTTTTGATGGTTGAGCTTATTACATGTATTTCATTGCAAAAGCTACAACAGGCCTCTTCAGAGCTTTGCTCACTTTAAATCTATTCAAAAGACTCAAAACCATGTGGCATACAGTGTGTTTAATTTCATTAGATGGAAAATTGTGTTTTATGGTTCGTTTTATTATATTTCAGGCAATGATGAAACAGCCAGACTTGGGAATTGATAGTGAAGAGATACTAGAGATTCTTGGAGGTAAACAGGAGATTTTCATCCAGTGATCATTTACTGTAATCAATCAATAAATCATTCAATCAATCATTTAATCAATCATTCAATCAATCATTCAGTCAATCATTTAATCAGTCAATAATTAACTGGGAAAGTGATTAACTGGAATCTGTCTCAAAGGCTGGTCATTGAGCCCTTGTTTCAGTCTTAAGTCCCTAGTCCTCTAATAGACTTATGAACCCTATACCTCACTACTTGATTTTCAATGCATTGTGGGACCAGTTTCTATCGAAAACAAAAGAAATCCACTATGTTCTGTCCCAAACATATCCTACAATGCATTGCGTTTATGGTACATGARATACAGGTCTATTGGCCACCATATTAGTATAAGTCATGTGTTGCCTTTTTTTCATGCCTTGTTTCTTATTTTTATAGCCTCTGTTGGCAGCAGCATTGGTTCGCCAGATCATGGCAGCTCACCCCAAATGACAATGCATTCACACAATCAGCAACCACAGCGATTTATTATACCTCAGCCACAGCAGATGTCAGGAATACCAAAGTCTCCTAGTACAGGCTACCTTAGTGTCTTCAGCCCTCCACACAACAACAATCACCTGCCTATTCAGTCAAGACTATCAAAGAGCTGTGAAGATATGATTACTCCTTATAGCAAACAGGCCATTCACCAAAGCACTGAAAACACCTTAGCCGATATAGACTCAATTATCATGAGTCCAGCATCGCCCATGCGAGTTGATAATATTGACAATGATGACCATTTAATGGCGATATCTAACAATATTCCTATTCCTAATGGTGGACTTAACAAATCTGATCCATTAAGCTGGTTGGACTTAAACAGCCCTGTTGCTATGACAACTTCTCCTAATACATCTACAGAAGTCACCTACATGAATAGAAGTTCTCCTCCTTCTACCTTATATGGGGTTTCTCCATCATTACAAAACGAAGCGTTGAATTTGCCGTTATTTGAACTGGATAACCCAGGTCAGGGAAACTTTCCACATGAATTCTCAGAAGCCATGGATTTCTGTGTTTCGTATAAAATTAATTAATTAAATCTATATAAGTTAAATATATTATTACATAAGCGTGCTATGTTAGTATGTACTATGTACATTTTGGTGTTATTGTTACAAGTTGTAGAAAAATCCATGAAACAAGAGGAGTATTTTCGATTTTCTGGTGTTTCTACTCTCAGAAATTGTAAACTATTTCTAGTTGGTAAATTGTTAGTTTTCCTATTTCTAAACAAAGTAACAGATTTGTCTTCAAAATAATGATCGACAGAAAACAAAAAATGTTTGACAATTGTAGTAGAACTTGAATATTTAAAAGGTATTTCAATGATAAATTATTTTAAGTATCTGAAAATGATTCCTTTGACATTTAATATAGACTTGATGATTTTCTTAATCATTCATGAGATACTCAATTAGAAATAATCAAAACACTACAAAATATTTCWATCCAGAATCATATCCTCTGGATTGCACAAAAACATCTCTTGTTTTATGGATGTGTTACATACATTTACTCTAGAGTTCAAATTCTAAATCCATGAAAGAGTGATATGAAATTATTTGTGACTATTTTATGCTGAAAAAAAAAAAAAAAACAGGGAAATGTCTAGACTTCTTTCAAGTGCAGGTAATCTGAACTGTCAGCTCTCCTAGAAATTTAGGCTCATGCTTCGTGGATTAGCCAAATGTATACAAGTCCTATTGGTCCTATTTACTAATCTCAAACTTTGTTGATATATTTTGTGGTTCATTATGACTTTTAATTTGTGCAAYAATAAAATTAGCCAACGTTGTCAAATCAGTAAAGTGAGTTTATTCTGAAATCTATCAAAATTGTAGGCACTGAAGTTAGTTTCAATTTCTTTTCTTTAGCAACTTGTTATAAAGCATTATACAACTTTTCAGTAAAATCAGACGTTTTGATTGGTTGGCTTTCGTGTGTTATCAAAGTATAGATACACGGATTACATCAAAACTAATTGTTTGTTGTATAAAACAGATAGATCTCATTTTTCCGTGCATGTGTACTCTAATAGATACACAGATGATGTCAAAATGTAGTGAGAACAACACTCAAGTCACGCACTCGACTGCATCTCGTGCGTATACTTTTTTGTTTTCACTACATTTTGACGTCATCTGTGTATCTATTAGAGTACACACACACGGAAAAATGAGATCTATTTGTTAAATAACATAAAATTGAAACAGGTTGCTTAAACAGGAGAAGACAAAATACACTYTTCCATGGATGTAGTTTTTGTGAGTTGTTAATCAATGTGGTCTTGTGTTCATTTGTGATGTGAAAGTTTATTTTTGCAGCAATTTTAATGTATTTAATAGAAAATAATCTGTACAATTATTACTATTTTGTTAATGCTGTACATGCATTTTACCATAAAAGTCAATCTGRATAAGTCAACCAGCTAAAACAATCTTAACTGCACTAAGAAATTTAGAGTGTTTTTCATAAACCTGGCAATTATCACATTTAAACTGGTCATGCATTAATTATTATTATTGTTTTTTATTGTTTGGATGCTATAAGCTCTATGGGTTTATGGAAATTACTGTATTACCTTTATTTTACATTTAGGAAATCATTTGAAATTATTAAATGGCTYTTGTCCTCCACAGACAACTCTCAACTCTGAGCTTGGGTGTGTGCTGGGGTCAGTTACAGGGGTTAAAAAAACCTTCCTTGGAAGACAAAGTCTTTGAAATATCAGACTTCATTTTCCTAATCAACAACTCATTTTTGGATAGTCCAACAGTTTGTTTGTTGTGAATCTAAAACAATTCTCATGCGATTTAATTGCAGTCTATTGTCGTCTTCATAGTCTTGACACCTCAAAATAGAGCTGTAACCACCACTCATGAAACCTCTACACATGCTCCGGCGTAACAAGTGTCCTTGTAACAAAGGAAGGCCAGTTGGGCTGCCTGTGGAGGTGACCATCATTAGGCAACTTACTTTATGTAATGTTAAAAAATCAAATTTGGTCAACTCTTGTTATAATTAACAATTAGACCTTGAGGTCGAGTGGATTACGAGCTAATAGCCCATGAGGCCGAGTCCGGGAGGCCGAATGGGCTATTAGCTCGTAGTCCACGAGGCCGAGAGGTCTAATTGTTTTAGTATAAACATACTAATCGGGCAAATAATGAAAACAAATTGAAATATCCTTAAAATAATTTATTAATGAGATTGATTTTCCCGCGAGTGGTCTATCACAAATTAGACCATTAGTAGAGTAGCCAATCACAGCGCAGTATGAGTGATAGACCATTAGTAGAGTAGCCAATCACAGCGCAGTATGAGTGATAGACCATTATTATGTTACTTTATACTAATACACCTTTAGACCTGCAACTAAGGTTCTGCGATAATATAGTGAGTGTCCACTGTCAATGGAGTCATGTTCTCTGTCTTTGGAGCAGGGAATTACCCAARATAAGGTTGTTTGTCAGCCAAGAGTTTTGTTTATTTTTAAAAAAGTGAAAACGACTTGATTTTCATATGAATAGATTGCTACTTTTTCTTCAAATTTAAGAATATTACGAMTATGAAAAACAAAGAAAAATCAGTACTATAATAGGCATAGCACACCAGTCAAACACTTAACTTTTGCCTTGAATTCAGGACAAATAACAAAAAATAACATTAAATATGTGTGTGGACACAATACTAATTAGGTAAAACTCAATTTTTACCATAATTAACCATCAGTTCACACCATCAGTTCACACAAAGAATTGACCAGTTAAACATACGTTTTGACTGGACATTGCTTGTTTGTTGACCAGCTCTTATTTTCCRCTCTAGAATTTACCTAATTTGAGAATCTAGATATATAACATATATAACACTTACACTTACACTCCTAATTGTGAATTAGTATGGGTGAATTGTTAGTACTATTTGATTGACAAAAGGTGATGTCATTTTACTGCTGTAGTTTAGATATCACCTCGAGCGGATTCTTGTTGATTTGCTTTGGTTTTAGCTTTTGACATTGACAMGTTTCATTTCTTARTAGAGTACAAACACTAAAAGCGTYCAACAGCACTATTTGCTACAAAATAGTGCTAATTAAACAATAGAAAACAATAGAATTAGCATYATTTAGCAGTATTTAGTGGTATTTATGTTGSACYGTTTTAGTGTTTGTACTCTATCATTGAGCTATTATATTGTTGTTTACAATTTTGTTAAAATGTTTCTTACATTTCAGTATAAAATTCTAAAGAAAGTAAGKCAGGCATTAAAGCCATAAATTGTACAGACAGACGTAATGAGAAAAAATATTACTATTAGAAAAGTAACCAGAAAATAAAAAAACATATAGTTTACATTTCTTGATTTTGAGTGGTTTTAGTCTAAAACTTCCCGACTGGMTAAATGACAGACTTGACAAACGTTGGTCACTGAGTTATTGCTATCCATGAAACTGTACTGTTCAGCTTGGGTCTCATAACCATAGCAATATAACCTGAAAATAATGTCCAAAAATGTAGAGACCAACTTAATATAAGTAAAATGTCAAAGTTTCCAGTCTCAACACTCGATACTTTCAAAATGGCAGCAAACCTAAAACAAGTCTAGAGCAAGTCTTGGTCTCCTGAGTTCTGCTATATTTTTGCATACATGTTTTCTATAAGAAAAGATGTGAATTTCTATTTGCTACAACCGTTTTGTGTTGAGACATCTCCTGACTTTGTGTTGAGACATCTCCTGACTTCTTTTGACCTGCCTAATCATCCTGCCATGACTGATGAATGATTGATTTAAGGTGGGTGTGGTCATTTGACAACAAGCTGCTAAGAACTTACTGCCGTATTTCTTTATGACATCACGTAAAGTAACTCTCTTTAAAAGAATTGCCTTCAAAAGAAATTATGATCATTTTGACTCSTATTCCAAGTATATATAAAATTAATATATCAGAAATTATAGGATTATCATCCTCAAATGAATATTTTTTTTCCTTTGAAGTTGTCTAGCAATAGCACTTTCTGAAAAAAATATTGGCGATGATATCACAATTATTATATTTTATATATACTTGAAATATGAGTCAAAAAGCATGATTTCTGCATATTGCTGTAGTGGTAATTTGCTTACTTGCGTAAATATATAGCAACCAGCTGCATGAAATATATAAAAATTTTATATATATTTCACCTGGTTGCTATATATTTATGCCAGTAAGCAAATTACCACATTTCATTTGTTAACTTAATAACTTTGTGTCTAAGAATTTTTGCGCATAATCACACTTGCTAATTATTCATCTAATAGAGATTTCAGACACATCCATAGGCTATCCCCACCATTTGGTGGAATAAAGGATTTGCTCACATCTAAATTTAATTGAATTTTATGCTTATGTATTTTCATACCCCTATACAAAAGACATCAATGTGGAAAAAAAATCAGTTTTGAAATCAAACACTACTTTTTAGGACTTCCTATGGTAAATTGCTAGGATGAATTCTGTCATGGTTAAAAATAAAAACCAGCTATATAACCATCCATTAAGTTCCATTATCTTCTGTTTGAATTGAAAACATGACAAACTTAAATTTGACAGGTGGTYAAAAAGGTTTCKAATGAGCTTTTTATTTGTTGTCTGGCTATATAGTTTTTGACTGCATTGATTTAAATACAACTTAYAATTGGCAAAATCAACTAWAAGTCCTGAAGATCCYTGGGTATAAACATGGATTAAAATATTCCCTGAAAGCTATTATAGATCTTTTAAGAAATTATCAGGTATTAAGTGAGAAGGCATAAGGCAAGATTCAAGTTGTTTACTTTGAGGCTCAGACAGGTTTGAGCATAATGCAAAATCAACAACCCAAGTTTTTTGTTGACAAAAKTATTTACATTCCCTCAACCAGTTTGAAATCTTATAACTATAAAATCTAAAAATATATCTGGATAAAGACTTAATCTTCTGTGATAATTCTATGGACTAGAATCAGTATATTATTAAATATTATAAAATRATTAATTCTGCATGATTACATCCAAGAAGATTCTTTTTCTGCCGCGTCAGATGATAATGACTCCTGAAGCTGAAAGCTTGGTATGATATCATTTTGAACATAAATAATGGACAAGAAAAATTGAGTAATTATTAATATTGCATTTTATTCTCTTGTTAATTTTTATTATATGGCAAAAATATGTACATAAATCTAAAAGAAATAATACATTGAGAAACTCTTTGATATCTAGTAACGGAAAGCCATTCCTTTTTGTTAAGGGATATTCCTTAAATTTTATTTGTCTTCAGCTTTAAAAGGTATATATATTCCATCAAAAATAGTTAGAGGGGTATGATGCTGGTAATAGTAACCACCCCTAGTTTGCTTAAAACAACTAATGACACTAAAAGCTCTTAGCTTCTGCGAATTAACCTACATTCACACACCAAASTTAGCATTTAATGATCCTGACACTTCTAAGTAAAAAATAAGTAAAATTTTAAAGACATTACCATAAAAAACATGTAAAAATTGCTTCAAAGTGTTTCTTTGGGTTTGTTTTTTGACATGAAGGAAAGTCATTCAGTATAGTCATTGAGAACAAATTCCTGAATTTTTTAATTATTTGAAAAGACATTTTGGGTTAATTTGCCTATATTTGTGAACAAAAAATTGTTGTGGAAGTTATTATGATAGGTTTTGGGGTTATTGGCTATATGCCTCATTAAATTTTTCCCAAAGCAAGTGTCCGATGCTTTAGTTGACGACAGACTCCTTTATACAAAAACAAAAGCAAGCCCACCAAAATGCTATCATTATTTGTATATAGCTCTTGTAACATTTTTTAATGCTTTCTTTCCTTCTGGAAAAGTCTTTACGCAAGAGTTTTGTCTGTTGTCAACTAAAACAGTGGTCACTCGCTGTGACTGATATGACAACCAATATCTCAAATGCTAGAGTGTGATTTCCCACTTTTCTTTTCATCTAGGAAATCTACTTTTTTACAGAACTTTATATCTCTTATTTTTACGGACTGTATCCTTAACAATGGAATAGCTTTATCTAAAAAAAATAAAGACTTAAACTTAACAATATTTTAGCTCTTTTCTTTAAGTTAATTCTTTTTCTSTTTTTAAGGATATGAAATTGGAATTAATTTTGAAGGGTTGGGAAATGAGATAGTCGAATTAGAAACACCAAAATAGCATTTATAACTTAATGTACAGATAAAACTCTTATTTTTTATGAGAATTTTTAAAAGGATTTAAAGAGAACGAATTTAAAATTCCTTGATGACACCATTCTCGTGCTTTTCCTCCGCCTGATCGTTGGGTATATTTGTAGACTTTTCTCTTTCTGATTCGACAAAATCATCAAATAGACTGGGCCATGCTTCCGAATCATCATAGTTGCTGAAATCACTGGCAATACTTTCAGTGAAGTTTAAAAACATATTCCACGTATCGCGAGATATTCCTTTCACTTCGCGTTCATTTAAATAAGCAAACCATCTGCCTATGACAACTGGCATGTCCTTGGAGAATATCAGCTTCCACAGAGCGACTGCAATGTTTGTAGGTAACGACCGTTGTCCATCTTCTACATCAAGTCCAAACTTGAAAGTAAATCTATACAAATCTTTGAATTTTTCGGTATCGCCGACGACTTCATCCTCAAGCTCGGGTAATTTATTTTGCAACCCTTTAATTGAGTCTGCCCTAACTTCTTTGCAACCATTAATAAACTCCTCCTTAGTAAACCTACACATCTGAGATGCATTGAACTTCCAAGCAAGCACTAAAACTACAAACGCCGTGGGATCTACTCCCAAGTCTTGACAAAATTTTTCCATTCCATCAGCTAGGATCGCGTCCTCGGTGTCGTCTTTATACTTTGAGAACAACGAGAGAATCTTTGTTTCATCTAGTTCTTGTTTAGGATAAGCAATAGTCCTTAGAATATCATGAGAGCCGTTCCCAGGCCGGGCGAAGAAACCTTTCTCTGAGGATTTGGCCAGTTTCGGTTTGTGTTGTGAGCCGCTTGAGTGAAGTTGGTTTGAAGTAAGGGATGTTGTTGTCTGTTGTGGCAGACTTTCCAAATCCCTTTCTCTACTAGAATTATGCTCACAGACAGAACAACACTTCCCCATTACCCTGTCCCTCTATAGCCTACAAAAAGGCCGGTTTCAGAGGTTTTAGAGGAGGAATTGCGACATAAAATACAGTCCAACAAGAAAGCTAACAACTCGTTGCTGTCGCTAGCCGTCAACTATTTTGCCAAAATATCACGTGACAGGAAGTAAAACCTGCGCAAAAATTACCATAACAGCAAAAGCAATTTTTAAATTTCCTTCAGTTCGGAAACATTTTTCTATAGCTTTTCAAAAATGACAAAAGGTGAGATTTCCTTTTTGTTTTGCTTTGTGATTAGTATATTTGTGCTTTAAATAATAGATTTTAGAATTTAGAGGACGGATGTAGTGGGTACTTTGAAAAAGCAATGATTGATGCCAAAGATTGAGCAAAAACAAGGAGAAATCATAATTGTAATTTTCTTTGTCAACAAGTGAGAAAGGATGGAAAATTACTTGAAGTGAACGGTCCGTGAGRATTTTCTSTCAAATTACTTAAGCAGCTGAATGAAAGTTAGAATCACCCAAGACTATTCCAACGCTTTAAACTTCATATACTTATCTTCTTGTCAGTTTGTTTCCCATTCTATCTTTATTTTTATTTTCTCTTTGATAAAACGACGTTGCGTGATAGCGTGACACATGTGACATTTAGTATGGAGTGCGTTACACAGGCAGGCCAGGTGTCACAGCCTCTGATGAGCTCATCATATGCAAGATGATCGCGTCGATATTAGAAAACGCCGATTAGAATCGAGAGAGCCAAACTGTTGTTTCATTCAGACAAATCTTTAAACTTATGCCATTCAACTTCTAACTGCCTCACTAGGGTCAAATTAGTAGAATCACCGAATAGGAACGGTTAATTTATTTCGAATCTTTGATCAGAATCGCCGAAGACAAGTGACAGCATAMTAGAGCGACAGTTGGCGATCAAGGCCACGGCTGGGAGTATTTCTAGTGAGTATGGCAAATGATAATGAATTTCTCTCTAAATTATTCCATGAATCTTGCCAACAGGGATGTATTCTTTCCATATTTGATKATAAAGCTGTATTTTAGAAGCTTTTAGACCAAACTTTCGTTGGTCGGTTGATGATGAATAAGCAGCGAGCTGTGACAAAGAACAGATGATGTCCTCATCTTCATTGAATCAACTTTTGTTTGCCAAACCCGATCATTGAATACCAAACTGCGTTTATTAGATACGTTTTTCTRCTCTACATAAAAAATCCTTTTCTCGAGCATTACTTGTAAGCATTAAATTGCAAGTTTGGRGTTCAATCTAGCTTTACATATTACACTCGTATCGTAAATAAACGGAGGCTAATAAAATTACAAAAACATGCAGTCACTCAACCGTGGCACATTTCTCACAAAGCTTTAGTTTCGTTTTTGTTGCTTCTGATTTTTATCAGGTAGAAAACACTTCTTAGGGCTATGCGCTTGTTCTATTATAAACTCCTTGAAGTAGATCTATTTTCGTAGTTATAATTGTCACCATGTATTGCGGTGAATAAAAGCATTTGCATAAATTGTTATGGCCGGCGGAGCTTCGTTTCAGGTTATGTTACACAGGAATTAAAAAAGCGGAAGGTCCCCGTGTTAAAATAGTGTGAAAATATGGTCATCAAACTTTCTTGTATGGAATCTATAACTCACACTTACAAATAAGCTTTATTCACAAGCAAAATCAAAATTGTTTTCATCATTCTTTTAGGACATTATGCATAAAATATATCAACTGACTTAAAACTCTTTTTTCAGCATTTGTATCCTTATGTGATAGATTGATAATTCTTCATGTTCTCTTTTATTAAGCAAAATAAATCATTGAAGTATTATTTTTAGCACTTAGTAGTTCACAGCAAGTATTTCTTTTTTTATAGTAAAAACAAACAGAAAAAAAAACAAGAGAGCTTCTAGATTAATTATTATTTGCATTTATATGTGCATAATTCTTAAGCAAAAGCAAAGTTGATAACAGAGCAATTTTCTATATCTTTTTGAAACTTGTCCAGACAATGAACCTTAATTGCCAWTCAGCTTATAAAAGACCATAAAAATCTTACCAAAGTTAGGATAATATKACTGTTGTCAAATATTTCTAGCCACTTCTTCTTGCTACAGAAGTTACATTTACAATTTGTTTTTGTTCATTGTATAATATTGATATTAATGTAATCCTCTGATACCCATSTATATCATGCCAAGATAGTTCCATTTCTTTCCTTTCATCCCACTTCCATTTAACCTTTCACTCACTGTTTTCCCTTCTCACTATATTTCTAGTTGTCGATTTATGAAGATAGCTTAATCACTATGAGTGGCGACCAAGAGCAACTTTGTGTTGTGGATAGTGATACAGGTCAGATTCTGTACTACTTCAACTCAAGTACAGGTGAAATGAACTGGGTCAATCAACCACCAAAGGTACATTTATCTCACTCAACGGTTGACAAGGGTGCAAACTTCATCTGCTGGGCACTGTACCTACAGTACATGCACATTTAAGTTTCCTTCATAGTATTCTCTGCAGTGCCATCTTGATTTCTATCAAAGRGCAACAACCCATGGCCTATAGTGATTATAAAATACTTGTAAATAATTGTTGCCTTGTAAAAGCAAGTTTTTTGCATTGCTTGAATGTGATTTATATTTCTACCTATAATGATATRATTATTTGCTCTGACCAGGAAATCTCTGACCAAACCAAGTCCAAACCACCATCACCATCAGACTCTAGTATTTCTGATCCAGGAGAAGTGTCTGAACCAGAATACAGTAAAACTAAGCTAACACCTCCAACTAAAGTCAAAATAGAACCCAAGGAATGTTCCAATTTAGTCTCTGGTGAAGTTGTTACAGTCATCCTAGAGCCCTGTCCTGAAAATGCCAAGAAAGGTCGTTCTGGTTCATCTAAAGGAAAAGTGAATAAAAAGCCTGTCCAAACAGCATTGTCTACTGACGTTGACCAGTCATCAAGAAAGAGGAAGTTGGTATGCACTTTTATGATGTTGTTGATAATGATGATGGTGTTGGTAGCAATAATAATGTGGTAACAGTGGTGGTACTGTGCTGGGTGCTGCAAACGCATGACTACTATAAAGACCATGTCCCATTTAGTACTCTCCTTTATTTGAGGTCTCCATTGTGGTGCTTTTTTTGGGAGTGCACCCCTCCTTCCCCTGCGCCCCTTCTTGAAGAAAACAATGGGCTCCACCCATGTGGTGGTAAAGAAGTYTTAAGGTGTTTTTAGTGATTATGGTTATAATATCGGTGGCACATAATAGAGTTGASTTATTAGGATACAGCATTTGAATGAGTAGTTCATTGGTGTTAAAGCATTGAAAACATTTAAAGTGAATTTGAGCACATATTTTGTAATATACTYAAACCCCTTTGGTTTGGGCTTCACACTGTATGTGCACACTGTATATAGTATGACTTCTTTAGTTCCTGGCATAATGCATTTATTGTAAAGAAGTGTATCATGCAGTATTCCTCATCTGCAGACTGGATCTTGGCATCTCTAAAARGAAGGTCTTAAAGTACTTATAATTGTGCCTTTTATTCTTTAGGAGGAAGATGAATCTACATCAATACCAACCAAAATTAAAAAAGGTAATGATCTGTATCCATAAAATTGTGGCGTAAATTTCAGTCTTTCTCACTGCGTTTTTTTTTTCCATTCTATTTTTATTTCACGTTTTAACAGTATTTTTATTATATTCTTTGTGAATTGTTTTGCAGAAGTAAGTAGAGTCGAAGAGTTTGTTTGCAAGTACTGCAAGAAATCATTTTCTTCTAAGGCCCTTCTCTCCAGACACGTGGATYTCCACCTTGGACCAAGGCCTTTCAAATGCCCTCGTTGCTACAAAGGATTTCGGGATCCCCTTCAATTGGCAAACCATGCTAATTTGCATATTCTGTCCAGACCCTTTGTCTGCGTCAAGTGTGGCAAATCATTCTCTACCGGAAGTTGTTTGACAGTTCACATGAGTAGGCATGACGGGATACCACCGTACACTTGTCAGCACTGCTCCAAAGGCTTCGTACATTTCACTGCGTTGACGCTTCACTTATCAACGCATCTGCCTCAACTACCCTGCCGATGTGGCTACTGCCAGCAAGAGTTCGCCAACCCAAAGGGGCTTTCTAAACACATACAAACTCATAAATCCAGAGCTGTTTCTAACAATGGGAATTCCAGAGAAGAATCTATAAGGTGCCAAATTTGCTCCGAGTCTTTTATGAATCACAAGGCACTAGAAATCCATCTGATTACGGTTCATAACAAGCAAGGCAAGGAAGTTAGTAACCGCAGTGTGAATCCTCTACGGCAGCTGCAGGCCCTGATCTTCAAGGAAACGCCAACTTATGAAGCCAATCGGGTCAGCCAAATGAGAAGCATGCAGCCATACTCTAGGGAGATAGTGGAGAATCGCTTTAGTGCAAATGGACGCCGAGCGCACAATAGTATGGACAGAGTAGGGAATAGTTCAGGCCGACTAGGGAGTGATATGACAAGGAAAGCGAATATTCTAGACGGATCAGTAAGTAGTACCGTGGAACGCAACGAAAGTAGTAAGCAGACAAGCCAAGCAAACAGACAAGACAATAAAAGTGGAGATCCACTAAGTCAACTTCATGCTCTAACGTACCGAGGGGARGGCCCCATCAGTGAAGTGAGCTCTCTGTCAAGCTCTTCTGTTCASCAACCATATTATAGTAATGCGTACTCTTCCCTTTCCAGTGGCCTCACTGGCCTACAAACTATCAAGCAAGAGAACAAAACYGCCGGCGAAAATAGCYGGGATAACCCGTCCAATAGCCAACKAGAAAATTCTGAAGAGAAACTYCTTCCTTGTTTGGATTGCAGCGAAGTGTTCGACAACGCGGCTGACTTGGCGGTACATGCTCGAGTCCACACAAAAAGTGAACTTATTGAATGTACACAATGTGATCGGAACTTTGTACGGGAGAGCGAATTCAGAAAACATCTGGCCTCTCACGAAGGTAAAGCTGGGACATATGTCTGCCCAAAGTGCYGCAAGACCTTTGTGCATTCCCATGGATTAAATCTGCACTTGAGAATTCATACTGGRGAGAAGCCCTTCCAGTGCAAACACTGCTTGAAATGTTTTGCGCACTCCGGGAATTTGACTGTCCATCTGAGAACTCACACAGGCGAAAAACCTTTTAAGTGTCAGTATTGTCACCAAGCTTTCAATCACTCCAGTAACTTGAAGAATCACATGCGACTTCACACAGGGGAGAAGCCATACCAGTGTAAATTCTGTGACAGGTCGTTTTCGAGAAGTTCACATCTTCGGAATCATACCATCAACCACACCTTGGGAAGGACGGACCCCGATATCTTCAGATGTGATATTTGTGACAAGCCTTTTGACGACGTTACCCTTCTTAACGAGCATATCAAACTTCATAACGAAACTAAGCCTCACATTTGTCGTTTCTGTGGAAAGGCGTTCACGGTGCCGAGCGGCTTGGCTGTGCATGAGCGAACGCATACAGGYGAGAAGCCATACAAGTGTCAGTATTGTGACCGTGCTTTTAGTCACTCGAGCAACATGAAGGTGCATGTCCGTACTCACACTGGTGAGAAACCGTATCACTGCAAAGTGTGCGATACTACATTTGCAAGAAGCTCAGACCTGCGAAGGCATGTGTACTTTCAGGGCTGTCAGAAACTTGCCTCGTCGATTTCTGGAATCCCGTCGTRGAGTGAYAGTGGTGGGGCGAGTGGTGGAGAACCCATCATGAACGTCCCTTCGAGCATGCAGGGTCAGCCTATGCGTACTTATCCTGCAACTGTGACTTATTCATCGTACACCGGCTCAGATTATAAAGAAGACAAGCAAGCAAAGGAAAAGCAAGAAATCTCTCCCTTTCAACGTATTAAAGACCATATCAAAGCGCTCTCGGGAAGCTCACCCACCGCTAGCACCGATGATACCAGTAAYATTAATACAGACGACAGRGTCCGTACCGGAGACGCCAACCGATCCAAGTATGAATTGKTASCACCTTCGACTTCGAAGGCTGGCCAGATGACTTTATCTTCAACTAGTACTAAGAGTYATGACGCGGCAAGCTCGTTTAAGGATTCTTTGAATACAAAGAAAGACTCACAGAAGACGAGTACMTCGCAGCCACCTCCATTCCTTRTATCYACCCTTTCTCTTAAACCTACAAGCAAAGTAAGGGAAAACGATGGCCTGCCTGCTGAAAAGCATGCTAATCACGTTCACSAGGGCGAGAATGCAACAAAAGAGATCAATAAAGATATCAGCAGTTCTCAGAAAGACYGGAATAGCATTGATAATAAGTCMTCTGCAACAAATCAACAGTCGTACAAAGTYGCTTCAACCTCTGGATCACATCCGAACCCTTCAGAAAGAGAGCGTGGTAGTCAAGGTCTAAGGAAGGAMGAAAGTACTATTGATACTACACAAAGTGTAAGCAGACCATCTTTGCCGACTGCCCACACGAAAATTTACGCCAGCTCAATGCCTCATACCATGGAGAAAACGGTTGGCACAAACCCTGAGAAATATGGCACGGAAAAAGCGGTTACCCACGCGAAACCGTACTCATTTGGAGAATCTGCTCGGCCCTACAGTACGTCAGGTACGGCTGCTACTTCACGACCGCACCCAGTAAGAGAAACAGCTCAAAACCCGCGGTCACACTCGAAGACAGGCATTGCAGAAACAGTTGCTTTCTCAAGACCACCTGTACTTGAAGTTTCTACCCCCGAAGAGGGTAAAGTCGACTCATCAAAAATTGGGGCATACAACAGGGAATCAGATGAAAGCTTAAGAACCTCTAAGAAAGGTGCGATACAGAACACGTATGCCACCCAAGAAAATACAAGGGCTTCTCAACACCCCACCATTGCGCATGACTCAAGCCAAAGACCAACGACCAGTACCAAAGTTGTTATTACAGGCTCAAGAAGTGATGATGCWGAAGAAGTTATTGGAAATGACACTATCATTGAAACTTCGAGTCTACAGCCACTCCAGGCACTAACCGAAAGTATTCTGCCCAAGTTTACTTAAAGGAATGACTTTAAACAYTCCTCTTTCAAATATGTATCTTTGAATTCCTTCTTTTTAATTGACTGATTACCAGTTCTCACAGAAGCAGTTCCTATGGAAACTGACATTGCTCGCCCCACTCTCCTTCGCAGCATACCCTTTTGTCGGGAGGGACAGGAACTCCGACAAAACAGTAGGCAGCGAAGGAGACTACTCCCGCCGCTGACTCTCTATTTTTCTAGATTTCTTCCGATCCTAATATTGACAATCTAGTACCAAGAATGAGAATGGTGATATTTCTTCAAAATCGAAGCCAAAAGAGGAACTAATTGTTAATAATTCATAAAAGYAAAACGTGATATCAACTTTTGTCAGCTAGCTATTCTTCACAAAATTATTTACTATTATAATTAATAAAAATGTTTTTCTTCTTTCACATTGAAATTTGCTGTTAAAACTTGAGCATGCTTGTCACGAAGCGAGAGTATAAAGTCTTGTTTTGAGTGATTTATGGTGTCAATTAAAAATGATTTTATTGAGCTTACGGCCGTATTCAAAATGACTTTCAAAAATAAACTAAAAGGAGTAAAGACATTTGGATCAATTATTATTTTACTCTAATGGTACCAAAACAAATTTCATCTCCAAAAAAGATTGATGGATATCATTACCTAGTGCTTTAATAACCTTAATGGCTGTCAAACCACAGAAAGAACTTTTAATGCAATGCTACCGCCTTAGTGCTATGGCTACCGTTCAATCAATCAACTGTTACCAGTGGACATAACCACTCAAATGTCACTATTTACGCGTAACTCTCATGCCACTCTAAAAACCTTTTTGTCTCATCAGTGCTATTATGTGCTAACTTCTATATTATAAATAAGTGTCTTTTAGGGGATATTTCTCCGAAAAAGCTAATGCTTATGATGTAAAATTATGTTATCTGTATAAACTGGAGAAAATACAGCGTGACAGCACAAAACAAGATGAAKGTTTGGAATAAAATACTTAATTTTATTGTACATAAGATTAATAAAATAATTCGAATAATGAATTCTTATTGCGCTGTTTAACATTTATGACTTTATTAGTTTATTTATTATTTCATCGTTTTAGTAGTTCTATATGAAATTTGCTTTTTAAGTAAAATTCTTACAAATAATCAACATATTGTCTGCTTTTGAAACAGAATCATAGAGATTTTCTGTCAACTGTGAAAAGTAGCCCTTTCTTTAGGCAGCTCTACAGCTTTTATAATAGTCAGCTTTCATAATGACTTTACAAAACAGAATACAAAACAAACTGTTGAGCGMRCACCAAAAACGTGAGCTACAGTGCAGCATACATCAGAACTCCTTCTTCATACAAAACTATGTAATATTGTAATGGCTACGAAAAAATATATGTTGAAAAGATTTTGATCATTCTACAAAATTACCCAAATATTAAAATATGAGCTTACTTCTTTAAATCTGGTTTAGGAGCCAGGGAAGGTGTACCTGGTTTATTGGGGGGAGGGGGTGGTTGTGAAGTAGGTTTTGCTATAGAAAAGGGGGGTGATGTAGCAACAGGGCTTATCGATCCCATGTACTTGACTTGTGCTGGTGTTGGCGCTTGTCTCTTTTTCTCTCCTGTACCTGACTGAGACATGACGTGAGTTGAAGATGCTTGAGATGAATTGTTYTTGGAATGTTGAATTGGGGAGTTGCTTCTTAGACCATTAGACGTTTCTCTGTTAATAAAACATTTCACTGAATTGAGTGCAAACAAAATAAATTTTACAAAAACATATTTGATGGTTGGTATATTCTTGAATTTATCTTTTTTATTTAGTTAGTGCCTATACATGCAGAAGGTTTTATGACTGCACCAGATGTCTGCACTGTTGCACAGTCTGGTAATTATGATGATGATGATTGACAGCAATGATGCAGATGATGACAATGATTGATAATGATGATGATGATGGTTGAAAATGATGATGAAGCATCAAACACAAGAATTAGAAAAGAAATAGTAATTTTTTGTTATCAAAAATGTGTAGTTTCCTTATTACAAGAGAGTAATGACATTTTAAAGTTTTCACTACATACTTTTCAGCACTTCCAGAATTGATAATTCCAACAACTTCATCAAAAAATCCTCCAGTGACACTTGGGAATTCTGTCACTGATCTCTTTTGTTGTTTGTGTAAGCTGTTTGCCGATCCCAACGGTGAAGTTGGTACACTACGGAAAAAATCAACACCTGCAGGAAAAACAAAATATATTATTGTAACATGAGGAGCACTGACTTAAATATTGAAATTKTTTCTTTTTTGTGGCCTTGAAAGGGTCACAGGGCCACTTACCTTCAGGAAAGAAATACTTGTGCTGTATAATAAGTGACTCAACTATTGAAGATTGGAGTCCAGTATGGTGCAAATGAACACTGCAAAATGAATGYTAAATGAATGAAAAATAAAATGAAAGAGAAAGGAGAAAAGGACCAAACGAGATAAATAATAATTATTATCAAGTGGAGTAATAACTGATTGGTAAGTGATTAATAATAATAATTGATACCTAGTTAATTAATACTTATTAATTAGTGAATTAACCAAGAACAACAGTGAATAAAAAATTGTAACATAATAAAAATGCACGGCTTGACAATATTTTTGATTGACAACAGATACTGCCTGGTCAAAAAATGTGTTGCCAGACACTTTTGTTTTCTTTGTAAGGTGAAAATTTGAGTAAACATGGCATGAATTCCCCATAAACAGAGTACAGAAACATAAATAAAATAAAAAAGTAACTGTGCTTGATGAATTATCCTATCTATTTATTATTCTCACCTATCACTTGTATTAGTCTTGGAATAAACTATGTTTGGTGCAATAACAATAGCTATATTACTAGGAGTCATCTTGTTCACATCTGAGTACTCGCTCAGTTTGGCTAAGAAACATATCAAATATCTGAGAAAATAAAAAAAAGTCATTTAATATAAGATTGCAATCCAGTGTACAAAGGATTGAGAATGAACCAGAGTGTTTGTTTTTCATTATTTTTTATTACTTTCCTTATTCATTAGTTCATCCATTCATTTTTATTTGTCCATTTTTCAAGTCTAGCAAGTCATTTATAAAATTACCTTAAATTATCTTTGTTTTCTTTAGGAAGTTTCTCAATCAGTAACCAGTATGCTTGTAACCTTGCTCCATTTTCTTGAATACTGCAGTATTAGGAGACAATGTTTAGCATGGATGCCATGCAGATACAAAATGAAACATGGAATCTTACCTGGCAGCCTTGATCCATTCTTCATAGAGTGCAAACGTCATCAGTGGATCTGGAAGTTCTCGTAAATACAACTTGACTACGCCTATAAACACATGTTGATAAATCAAGTACAATGAGTCATAATGATTAGATTTAACATAACATAACATACTATTTGTATATCTAGGGAGGGGAGGGTGGGGTTGTGAATTTTGTACATACCTGTTATTGCATGTACATCAACAGCATACTCTGCTAAGTCTACCAACCCATAGTCAAAAGCAGCCTATGTTCAAATTTTATGAAAATGAATTGAATTATATTGTAAAGCAGAAATAATTTTCATTTTGAAATGGAGAATATTATACAGTTGGACAATATAGTGATCAGACATCACACAAAAATGGTGCAAAAAAAATATGGAATTTATTATAAAATCCTTACAATTATGCTTTAATCATTTTATTATCCATAGTTTAAAATACATACTTTAAGCTTTCTTATTCTGCCAGCACTACCAGCCATTCTAAACAATCCCTAAGAATATAGAGAATAGTTTTAATTAATCACTCTAATGAAATGAGATTAGCTACAAATACAGAAGGTCGGAGCACAGGGATCCTGACCATAAACCCTTCAATGTAGACTTGATTGTCCAAAAAATACCTGCTCTTCAATGGCACCATCATGAAGATACATCAAACACTCCTCAAGTACAAAGGCTATTGTTCTATTCTGTGCTTTCAAATGCTCTTCCAGAGGACAACCAAAAACAGGTCTCAGAGATGATTCATCTGCATAAAAAATTAATTGGTAATAATTATAAATTATTATTATTATTATTATTATTATTATAATACAGTGGAATCTCCAATTGCGGTTGCTCTTGGAAGCGGACAGCTCTAATTAGGGACAGCTTTCTAAAACCCCAATTTATATTTCTTCCATATAAACACTGCGTTTACACTTTCTATTAGGTGGACAGCTCTACCAGCAGACACCCACTTTCCATTTCCCAAGGACATCCGCTTATAGGAGATTCAACTCATGGTAATTATAATATAAATGTAGTCAAAAACAAAATGCACACTAATTGAACAGTCTTGATGTCATAAAATGTCATTAAACTTAATTGCAATCCACTTGAGTTCTGAATGTTTTATGATGTCAAGAGTGTGTCATTAAGAGGACATACAACCTCAAAACTAAGTGCAATTTGTTTATCTGCTGAAAACAAAAATGGAATTAATAACTGGATATAAAAATATAAGTCGTATATTACCAACTCTTGTCTTCATGTTTGGTAAAAAACTCTGTAAAATTTCTGAAGCAGTTTTATGATATTCTAACTGTGCTTCCATGAACTGAAAAAGACAACAAGAAATAGTCAATTCAGTTGATTACAAAAGTTGATAGCAAAAAGGTGTTATTTTGAATTTGACTAGTGAAAAGAACACATTTGTGGTATGTTTATATATTGGAGGTAAATAAAAGTTACTTCAAAAACATTCTGATAAACAGAATATTACATGGTTGCTTGGAGATATGGACTATATCAATGTTGTAGTTCAGGTTCAATATATTTTTGAATCAGTTTAAT